TCGAGTAGTCTACCTGGGCATCGTAGTTTAATGCCGCGAGGTGAAGATCTACTCGCCTGGATGTCTGTCGAGCGTGGACTTGTCGAGCACGATCACGTTCGAGCCTAACTGAATGCGCTGCACCAGTTTCCGCTCTTCGTGAGGCCTCAGTCCTCATTCGACTGCTGTCGAGTCGAGACTCGCGCTCTTCAGCCGTCTCCTGAGATCTGGCTTCGGCGTGTCTGACTCGATCGTCATCGAGTCGAGAACCGCGCTCTTCAGCCGTCTCTCGCGATCTGGCTTCAGCGTTTCTCGACCGCATATCTTCGAGTCGAGAACCGCGCTCTTCAGCCGTCTCCTGAGATCTGGCTTCGGCGTGTCTGACTCGATCGTCATCGAGTCGAGAACCGCGCTCTTCAGCCGTCTCCCGTGATCTGGCTTCAGCGTTTCTCGACCGCATATCTTCGAGTCGAGAATGGCGCTGTTCAGCCGTCTCCTGAGATCTGGCTTCGGCGTGTCTCACTCGATCGTCATCGAGTCGAAAACCGCGCTCTTCAGCCGTCTCCTGAGATCTGGCTTCGGCGTGTCTGACTCGGTCGTCATCGAGTCGAGAACCGCGCTCTTCAGCCGTCTCCTGAGATCTGGCTTCGGCGTGTCTGACTCGGTCGTCATCGAGTCGAGAACCCCGCTCTTCAGCCGTCTCCTGAGATCTGGCTTCGGCGTGTCTCGCTCGGTCATCGTCGAGTCGAGAATCACGACTTTCTTGTGACTCTGAGGCTCTCAGAGCAGCAAGCCGCAGGCGAGTTTGCGAGAGACTTGCTTCACGCTGTTCAGGCGTTTGCGTTGCTCTCGCCTCGGCTATTCGGGCACGATTGCCTTCTAGCCGTTCCTGGCGCTGCTCCGAGGTCTCAGCCTCTCGTTGATCCCTGGCCTTTTTGGCCTTGGGATCAACTCTTCCGATGGATGCACGCTTCTTCGGCGGCATCCTGTGATGAGAGCCTTTAGGCTATAAGTTACTCGGTACCCGAGATATGGGAGCCTGTCGGCTTCTCGGTACTCGAGGTAAAGCCTTTAGGCTTCTCGATGCTCGAGGTGGAGCCTGTTGGCTTCTCGGTGCTCGAGATGGAGCCTGTTGGCTTCTCGGTACTCGAGGTAAAGCCGTTGGCTTCTCGGTACTCGAGAAAGAAAGAGCCTTTAGGCTTTGTCGCTTGGTCCTCAGATCCTTGGTCCTTTATCAGGTCCTCAGGTCCTTGGATCTTCGGTCCTCGCTTGGTACTCAGAGCTCTCGGTGGTTCAGTGGCCGCCGGCTAGCAGAGGTGAGTGACCGACAATGGCGAGATCGGCCGCCTTATATACCCCTCGAAAAGGGGCGGGGCCGGCTCTGATTGGTCACACCAACTCGGAAGGGGCGGATAGTTTTTGTATGGGAAGCCTATGCTTAACCACACGAAGTGGACCGCCCACTTTGGACCGCCCCTTGCCCCGCCCCCTTGGAGGGGTATATAAGGCGAGGCGTTGCGGCACCGGTCATTTCCGGTGGCTGCCTCGTGCCGGACGGTTGCCTCACTCGGAGGACAGCCATCGGATGCCTCACTCAGAGGACAACCATCGGATGCCTCACTCGGAGGACAGCCATCGGATGCCTCACTCGGAGGACAACCACTCGGTTGTTCTCCTCCATTCGGAGGTACAACCACTCGGTTGTTCTCCTCCATTCGGAGGTACAACCACTCGGTTGTTCTCCTCCATTCGGAGGTACAACCACTCGGTTGTTCTCCTCCATTCGGAGGTACAACCACTCGGGTGTTCTCCTCCATTCGGAGGTACAACCACTCGGTTGTTCTCCTCCATTCGGAGGTACAACCACTCGGTTGTTCTCCTCCATTCGGAGGTACAACCACTCGGTTGTTCTCCTCCATTCGGAGGTACAACCACTCGGTTGTTCTCCTCCATTCGGAGGTACAACCACTCGGTTGTTCTCCTCCATTCGGAGGTACAACCACTCGGTTGTTCTCCTCCATTCGGAGGTACAACCACTCGGTTGTTCTCCTCCATTCGGAGGTACAACCACTCGGTTGTTCTCCTCCATTCGGAGGTACAACCACTCGGGTGTTCTCCTCCATTCGGAGGTACAACCACTCGGTTGTTCTCCTCCATTCGGAGGTACAACCACTCGGTTGTTCTCCTCCATTCGGAGGTACAACCACTCGGTTGTTCTCCTCCATTCGGAGGTACAACCACTCGGTTGTTCTCCTCCATTCGGAGGTACAACCACTCGGTTGTTCTCCTCCATTCGGAGGTACAACCACTCGGTTGTTCTCCTCCATTCGGAGGTACAACCACTCGGTTGTTCTCCTCCATTCGGAGGTACAACCACTCGGTTGTTCTCCTCCATTCGGAGGTACAACCACTCGGTTGTTCTCCTCCATTCGGAGGTACAACCACTCGGTTGTTCTCCTCCATTCGGAGGTACAACCACTCGGTTGTTCTCCTCCATTCGGAGGTACAACCACTCGGTTGTTCTCCTCCATTCGGAGGTACAACCACTCGGTTGTTCTCCTCCATTCGGAGGTACAACCACTCGGTTGTTCTCCTCCATTCGGAGGTACAACCACTCGGTTGTTCTCCTCCATTCGGAGGTACAACCACTCGGTTGTTCTCCTCCATTCGGAGGTACAACCACTCGGTTGTTCTCCTCCATTCGGAGGTACAACCACTCGGTTGTTCTCCTCCATTCGGAGGTACAACCACTCGGTTGTTCTCCTCCATTCGGAGGTACAACCACTCGGTTGTGAGGACAACCATCGGTTGCCGCTGTCGGACAACCGAGGTTGTAACAAAAATTGAACCACTGGCTCAACACCTCCGTCGAGGTGAGCCATTCGGCCACCTCAGTCGAGGCGGAACCCGCGGTTCACTCGGTGAAAACGCACGGATATATCAACACTCGGTGAAACCGGAATTTTTCCAAAAAAATCAAAAATGCTTGTATCTCGTTTCAGAGACATCCTGGGACCTTGCGTCAAAAACACGTATATGCTAACTTTTGATGGCCAATCCAGCGGTGCTACTCAAATATTTTTTCTCCTTCTCATTCGAAGACGCCATCATGATTTCCTCCCAAAAAATTTAAAAAATTCTGAAAGAACTGTCTTTTTCCGAAAATATTTATGGTATGTTGACCCACATATAGAATGTGTGCATGCAAAATTTCAACAATCTAGTCTAGCTCTATTAGAACCTGATCTAAAAGAGTGTTTCATAAATAAAACATTTTTCAGAATTGTTTGAACCTCGCCAAAAAATTAAAATTGTTGTGAATTTATAGAGATCACTGTACTCTTTCAGTACGTTTGATCGTGATCATTAGCATTCCAATTATTTCAGGAAGACTGTTTTTTAATTAGCGCACTCGCTCCTTACCGAAATCCGGTCTCAGATGACAGGAAAAATATTTTGATGCAGGATTGAGGGTGAGAGATAAAGATTGCCTCATTTAAATCAGCTTAACCAAGTACCAACTTACACCTTTTTTGTCCGAGGTTCTAAACAAATAAAGTATTGGATATTCTCGCAAACAATTACTACATTCGTAATCAGCATGCTCAGTTACCCCATTGTGCTAACTCCCAGCCCCGTAGCTCAAACTTTGCAAAAAATCGATAAAATCGATAAAAGTAATGCACGATTTCAAAAACTAATGTTGTATTCGTAATCAGCATGCTCGATTACCCCCCTGTGCCAAATCCCAGCCCCGGAGCTCAAACTTTGCGAAAAAATCGATAAAATCGATAAAAGTAATGCACGATTTTAAAAACTAATGTTGTATTCGTAATCAGCATGCTCGATTACCCCCCTGTGCCAAATCCCAGCCCCGTAGCTCAAACTTTGCAAAAAAATCGATAAAATCGATAAAAGTAATGCAAGATTTTAAAAACTAATGTTGTATTCGTAATCAGCATGCTCGATTACCCCCCTGTGCCAAATCCCAGCCCCGTAGCTCAAACTTTGCAAAAAAATCGATAAAATCGATAAAAGTAATGCACGATTTTGAAAACTAATGTTGTATTCGTAATCAGCATGCTCGATTACCCCCCTGTGCCAAATCCCAGCCCCGTAGCTCAAATTTTGCAAAAAATCGATAAAATCGATATCGATCGATGACGAAAAGTAGCCTATGACACCCGCCGGGGCCCGTAGTGTATGTGTGCCAAGTTTGGTCCGGATCGGTTCAGAAATGGAATTTTCTATTCGGAACATACGTACAGACAGACAGACAGACATACAGACATACAGACAAACAGACATTCAGCTTTATATATAAGATATATAGATGCTAATACTTAGCATTGCTTTATCTGAGCGCTGGAAAGATTGTAACAATCAATTTTACCTAAAGTCTGCGTTCATTTTTCGTTCCGAAGAACGGTCATAACTCGGCGTCCAGAGGCGCTTGGCAGACTTGGAAGGCAGATTTGGAATCACCGATTAATGCTCTTCAAAGCAGTATGGGTCTCATCTGGAAAGGCCACTTCGACTCTACACGGTTTCCTTGTAAGGTTTTTTTTTGCAATCAAACTGATTTTTTGCGATTAGAAATTATGATGTGTGCTCAAAGGATAACACTGCTGTCAATAAAAATTGCGAAGTCCACTCTGTCGGCCCTCCCCTGACCGCGACAGTTTAGTGGTACACATGTGTAGAAAAAATCAAGAAAATCACTTGTTTTATTCGTGGAATTACCAGAATAAATAGATCTAAGAAAGTCAGCTCTACTTTTTCGAAATTTTTGGACAATGATTAGGTAAACACCATTCAATAGCGCTAACTCAGAAACTTGCAAAGAAAATTAGCCCTTTCCCAAGGTCCAAGGAAGTCAAATTGTCAGCTTGCCATATATTTTCGGAGCATTTCAGTAATTTTAAAGAGCGGTGTTCTCGTGCTCATTGATTGAAAGAACTGTCTGCCCCTCCTCACAAAAAATCTCATGGGACCGCTATTTTCAACCTACTGCCACTTACGTTTGCGACGCTCCAACAAGCGCTAAATACGCAATGACTTTTTTCGTGTTCTCTGTCTTTCCTGCACCCAATTCTCCAGTGATCAACATCGACTGATTCTCGTGATCTGAAAGTTATAGATGAGCTCTGGCCCTCAAGATATTTTGCGTTCCTTCTCACCATTCTGCATATTCCTATAGGTCTCGTCTAAGACAGCAAAAAGATGTGGTGGCATTTCATTGCGGCGTCTTCCCTGGTACATCTGGCACACAGCCTCCGAATAGATCGGTAACCTTTTGTACGGATTAATCACGACGCAGAACAATCCGGAGTAGGTCTAGAATGGACTTGATGGCGGTTGTCTGCATAATGTGATATCACTCATGAGCCATGACCTTCCAAAGAGGGCAGACTCCGCCTATATACCAGAATGATAGGCGGGGCCTGCGCAACAATAGTATGAAAATTTATACACTTACATAAATCATCATAGAAAAGTATCTTTGGCGAAGATTATGTAAGGCTGAAGCATTGTTAAGAAACGTCAAATTTGCAACAGAACAGTGGCAGAAACCACGTCAAAAATAGCTAAAACACGCCCAGTTTATAATCCCGTTTTCTATGATTCCGATCGAAGTCTATCCTTGCAAGCTCAGTATTTCTGCTATTTTGATAGCTCTAGCTCGCGTTATTTTTTCATCTAGAGCTGTCTTCAATGTTTTACCTGAGTATGTATCATTCTTTCTCTGACTAAGATACGCGAGCACGCTTTGCGTACATTTCCTTAACGAGTTCATGAATGAGTTTTAACACGTTTTGATTGATTTACTATTAGAATCGTGGAAGAACATGTTTGTCGTTAATCCACACTGGTTTGATCACATTGTTTCACGAATTCCTGATAGTAATTGATCAAAACGTGTTGAATTTCATTCATTGACTTTTTGATCAAACGTACACAAAGCGTGCTCGCGTCTTTTAGTCCTAGAATGATATATTCTGTTTTCTTCCCAGAAGAATTCTTTGCATTAATTGTTGAAGCTGTTAGAGTGCGCAGAATTGTAGTAGTTCTATAGTAGTACTTCAGCGTGCTCACATAATTGTGCCATCTTCTGTTTCTTGAATCTGGAGCAAGTACTATCTACCCTAAAGATCAAAACAGATAGAATCAAGATATAATTATGAACAAGCTAGGCAAAGTCAAGTAAAACCAATTAAATCAACAACTGATTTTCTCAGGCGTATATTGGATGTCTTCGTGGTCCACATTCTTTATTACGCTCAAGCTGTAGCGACTGCTGCATTTAGTGGAACGCTCGTAAAAGGGCTCGGGACTAGGGGGAGTTGCAGGTGCGCTCCATCACCATTTCGATTAGAGCACATCTTTTCAACTGGAGCGCACTGTCTCCAAACACCACGTTTGACACATCTGACGCCGTTTATAGGTATGGCGATGAGTACGTGTATTTTCCTTTGCATCCTTGTGAAAATTTGGAATGTTAACTTACACGCTATGTCAGAGAGTCAAAAACTACTTCGCTGTTGTTAAATGGTTTTCCTGATTCGTTGATGCTCTTCCGAGTAGGAGTTTTGCTTCATTAACATCCCGCTTGCAGAGAAGCAAAGCTTGGGGCAAATATATCCATATTATACACTACCAGTGCGTCACCTCTGCTTCGCAGAGGCTCGCACTGGCCCTACTTTCTGTATGCTTTACTCATTCCCGCACAAAAGTGACAATGAAACTCACCGCGCTATGCCGACTATCACGAATGTTTTGTAAACAACTATTCATTCTAAAAGCTTTTTCATATAAGATCGGTAATTTCGCGTTAATGAAACTTCTCCCAAATGAACAAATGCTGATTTGAATCAGTTTTTGGAGTTTTCATGGCTTGGCATTTGCCATAAGATACAATGTCACCGCGGGCTACATCTCTATGCAAAAATCTTTTCAAATGATCGGGTAAAATCTTGGCAAAGTGAACACTTACGCAAACAAATCTTTTTGGCGCCGTTTTTGCAAACTAATAAACTTTATTTCAATTATTTTGAGCTAAAGTCCATCGTTTGCGCATTAACTTGTCAAACAATCTGTGACCTTGCAAAAAGTTGCGCTACAGGCTCAATTTTACTGACCAAAAGCCAAGTGGGTCCCATTGACGCGCATTTTTTGAGGGATCCACACAACGGATCCGTTTGTGCTTTTGTACAGTGGACTCTCATGTAAGTAGCATGCTCTGTGCAAAATTTGGGCTCAAGAAATTCATTGGAACTCGCTCCATGAATTTCGTGACAGACAGAGATTCAGACACACACACACACACACACACACACACACACACACACACACAAACGTAAACAACCCTTAGCCCGTTATTATAAGTTATGATAGAGGTACTTCTGCCGAAATGGTTCCACAGATCTCAACATTCAAATGGCATTCGTACTTCGTGATCAAGAACAGATTTGTCGGCACAACCCACTCGTCGCTGTACGGAACACCGTTGATCAAGACTCTCGTGCGATTTCGCCTTCTGTATTTCGGATACCCGTCTACTTCCACAGACGTTCTCTCACGTAGCTGTTTTGGAAAATGTTTGGAACATCTTCCATCGCGCATACAGGGTGATTGAGGGTCTTGAGCACCACATTTTCGATGGATCATGAAGTTCGTGATGGCCGCAAACGCTTGGGGCTCCTCTTCTTGACACGGTATCTCGGCACAAACTGCATTATCAACATCCTCAACTGATTCGACTTTCCAACCATGTTTCATGATCAGAAGCATGTGACAGTAAGGTAAACCTCTCTTCTGAAATTCAATAACGTACACGTATGCCTCCACTTCTCCAAGAACTTTATTCTTGAACAGATCTTCACATAGCTCTCTCAGCTTCCCATTGAACACTCTTGCTGTGAGATCTGGTCTATCCGAGGCATTCTGACCTTCGTAAAGATTGTCTTGAATTTCTCGCCACTGAGGGTTGCAGGTCATCGTCAAAAAGTAAGTGGGTTTCCCAAAGCGGGCAACAATAGCCATAGCGTCTTGGTAGGATTGTTGCATTGCTCTGGGGCTTCCAATATGAGATGACGCTAACACAACGTGGCTTCCCGGAGGTCCGTAGTTGTCCTCTCCCGCCAGATAATCTTGCAGCCCTTTGTATGAGTCAGCTCTGAGGTTAACCTGATGAGTCCTATGATAATTCAATCGATTTTGTTCGATCTTGACGTAAGCATCGACCGCGAACTGCTGGAATAACTTCCTTGCATGCAGAATCGGATTGAACGTGTTTCGTATCGAAAAGAGATACGAATAATACTTCATCTGTGTAATCCGTACTCCACGCCTGTCCGTAAGTGTTGGATCCCACCCACCTCTACCTGTTGGAAACAGCAGAGGATAGGTAAGGGGATCACATCTTTTATCGATGTTGCTTATATTCAACAAAGGAGCTCCGTCTGACTCTCGCAAGTGTACGGCAAGGTTTGCAGGTAGCAGGAGGAACGTCGTTGTCGTTACCACCATATACAATTGCGACTTCATTGCTCGTTGGAACTGCATATCTACCTCGAGAGATACCTCTTTCTCTGTTGTCTTCAAAAATCATCCTGATCAGATTCACAGGTCTGTTCTCACGTCGAGCTGCTTCTTCTTCTGCTTTCTCAACCTCACTCATCATTTTGAAAGATAACGCATAAGTATTGTTATGCGCAAACCACTCGCTCAAAAACCTCATCAGCTCGGGTTCGCAATCCGCATTTTGAGCGATTCCTAGGCGCTGTTGTGCTGCTAATTCGGTGTCGAGCACATAAATTTGGCCGTATTGCCGCTCAGTTTCTTGATTTGGATGAAGAAGACCAATATGATGATGCACTTGTCCATGTATGCGATAGCAATACGGCCCTCGTCCTCTAATCACGTCTACTTGAGCGCCCATTGAGGCCATCGCCAATGCTGAATTGAAGTTCCTGATGTGTGTGAAAAAATTATTACGGCGTTGCCGTGGCTCCAGCAGCGTTGAGTTCCCGAGAAAGAGTTCTTTTATCACCGTAGGAAAGTCATCAAAAAAATTAAGGGCAAAATGCCCATAGTCACAGCAATCGCCGAATGTATCGGCATGCTGCTGCTTCACCTCAAAACCAAAATGCAACGCACCACAATTCACGCAGCAGCGATTTAGCTCTCCTAAATAGCTCGCGGTGGTCATGCGAACTCTGAGCGCTATCCCGGTTGTACGGGCAACATCACGACGCCGATTACGTCGGGTGCTAATATCCATACGCTCGGCATTGTTATGGTGTTGATGGTTCTGCGTATCCATCTCTGCATCCAACTCTTGCTGTCCGACATTTTGGTTTTGTGTGATTCTGTTCTGACGTTCGTTTTGCCGTACTCTCTGCTGACGTTGTCTTTGTTCGAGAAGACGCTGAGCACGATCTTCAGTACTTTCAGCTTGCCTTCGTCTTTGCTGTCGTGCTGCGTTTTGCAGGAGACGCGCAGATTGACTTTCATCGTTTTCCACTTCACGATTTCGTCGCTGACGTTCCATATTCTCAGAAAGTCGCTGTGCACGCTCTTCAACGTTTTCTCTTGCACGACGTCTTTGCTGTCGTTGCATGTCAGCGAGACGGCGTTCAGACCCTTCAGCTGAGCTCTCACTTTCTCGACGTCTATGATTACGCTGAGTAAGCTCCATCAGACGGTTGGCTCTTCGCTGCACATCTTCAGTGCCGAAGTACTCGCGATGACGCTGCGAATCTTGCGCCCGTCTGATAGAACTCTGCTCAGGGTCCTCATTTTGGCGCTCCAGCTGATGTCGTGCTGCATCTGCGTTTAACCGCAGTGCCCGCTGTTCTTCGCTTTCAACAAAACGGTGGTTTCTTTGACGTTCTGCATCTGATGCATAAATGCGCGGACGTCCACGCCTACGCAATATCGGTTGCTCATTAGATGATTCCATTTCAGTATCTTGTATGCTCTGAATGATAACAGTTACCTAAGAATGTAAATACAATCCAGATCTCAATAAAAATTTGAGCTGGTTGTCAGAAAAACATCCAAATTTCTCTAACATTCTCATTCACCTACTAAAAGTGAAAAAAAAGTAAAGAAAATCCTAGCAATTCTTCCATCTAACTCTAACATTGATTACCGTTTGATAAAACATCTATACAGAAGATGGTTTGAGGCTTAGCTAAACGTATACAGTGGCTACCCACGTCACTCTATTACGTCCACAACCGTTTTGATATGTTGCC